AATCCAGTTCTGCATTCCCAGATGAAGCACATTGCAGTCGATCTTCATTTTGTGCGTGACTTGGTTGACAAAAAGGTTCTGCGCGTCTCACACATTGCTTCCACCGACCAACTTGCTGATGGGTTCACTAAGCCCTTTCATTCTACCGGGTTTACCTGTTTACGGGACAAGATTGGAGTTGTTGATGGCACCTCCATCTTGTGGGGGCGTGTTAAGAAACCAAATCTGTATCATAGCATATTTATATTCTGTTAAAGCTCACATTCATTCTCTGTATAATATCCAAGATCGTGATTCACTTGCCTTATGTGGTAGGGCAACACTTAGGGCCCAACTGTATATATACTCTTGATATATTTGTGAATAAACAAGTTCTTCTTACACTTTGAACACAACAATAAGTATGTATTGTATTATTTTATAATTAATTTATTTTATTTAAAAATTATTTATAATATTGTATATATTCACTCATTTGGTATTATAAACTTATAATCTTATTTAGTATTATAAATATATCATTTCCAAAACAGGCAAAGGAAAGAACGATATCCATTTCGATCTCTCCAACTTTTGACGAGGTTAATCTTCTAGGAACCTTCTGATAAAATGATTTGCAATTGGACCGTTAAGTATGATAGATGATGCTTTCTAATTCCATTTATAAGTCAATAAGAGGAATATATATGGAGCATATACAGCTTTGAAAATGTCAAACCACAATGTTAAATTCGAATTTAGCAGTCAGCTTCAAACCCGCTCAAAAGTTTTATAAAGCCCCACATTTGCCTTGCCATGCACCACCCGTATGCAACCCTTCCTCCTTCACTTCTCTACAAGAGCTTTCTTTAATTTCTTGTATTAAGCATGCATTCCCCAGTAAGGTTCTCGAGTTGCAGAGGTGTAGCCTTTGAGATAAAACCTCATGCAGACCCATTTGCCATTGCACCAACACCGGCCCAAAATGAGCTTTCCAACAACAGCAATAGGTTCTGGTTCCCTTGGGACCTAAGGAACTCCTCCAAGATCTTCCTTTCTTCCATCCAAAGATCTATGAGTCGACCAATTAGTCATTTCTGTGATGTTGATTTTGATGAAAAAAAAAAGAAGGCAATGAGGAAGGCTTTATATTGGAGAGCCTGGAAGAAGGTAAATAATATGAGAAAGATGAGAAGCCAATCCTTCGTCACGCTCCCAGAAAACATTTAGAACAACCACCAAAGTGTGCTCAAAAGCCAGAGTCGAGACTATCCATCATATTGCTTGATCAAGGGCTGTTCACAGTGTACAAGAGACTCTTCACTGTCTGTTTAACCTTAAACATCATCGAACTGGTCCTTGCAGCCACCAGACACTTCCCTTATGCGAGAAACAGAGCTGCCCTGTTCTCTATCGGAAACATTCTTGCTCTGACACTCTGTAGAAGCGAGGCTGTTGAAGTATGTTTCTCCTGTGAGTGTGAAAACTATAATCTCACATAAAAAAAATGTAGAAAGAAAGAATGGCTTAAATATGTGAAGATTCATGGAACTATTAGATTAGTCTTTTGATTTTAATGTAGTGTCAAAACATGTAATGAATCATTTAATGTCGCCCCGCTAAACCATACGTCTCTCCAGCAAATGGTATCAAAGCCAATGATATAACATAGCCAGTGATAATTTCGATCTTGCCCATGGATCATTTCATGTATGTATGTGAAAAAAAAAATAGATGAACTCTCATAGGGGTGTTCACAACTCACAAGTGAAAGGGGAGTGTTGAAATATGTTTCTCTATGAGTGTGAAAAACTAAAATCCCAAGAGTGGTAATATGTGAAGACCCATGGAGCTACTAGCCGTTAGGATATTAGGCAGGTCATGGGTGCCACTTTGGTTCAAGACTGCCCTCACCGCCTTCCTCCAAAGTGTCGGCGAAATACACAGTAGCTGTGGAGTTTCTTCAATTGCATGGCTCATCTACTCCTTGGTTCCGACTCTCAAAAACAGAGCAAACACATCCCCTGCAATCATCGGTGTCTCCTCTGCTATTCTCTCCCTCCTCTGCCTCTCCAGCTTGGCTGCATTCCCTCTTGTCCGCCATCTTCACCACAATGTCTTTGAACGGATGCACAGATT